TTGTTTGTCGCTATTGATACAGTTTATTTAAAGGCCAGCCGGTGGTCAAAACTCTTCCCTATGCAGAGGGTTCAGGGAAGTCTGTAGGCGACCTAACCTTTTTGCTTTTTGCAACAATTGAACCCATAACCTCCTACTAAATACTACACTTGTTGTTGTGGTGCCAAAGATCCCCTTCATACAGTTTATTTAAACAAAACTAAAAAAACATCCAGGAGGATACTTACTATTCAAGTAGATATCACTACACCAATATTCCTGTAGGTCCTCATCCCGTCAACAAGAGGTTGACCATGAAGAAAGCAAGTTTGATTTGTAGTTTCGTGTGCAATTCCCACAACAAGACATAAAGTTAAGGATCCCTGCTTCGGTTGGCTCAGCAATATCCCTTGCTCGCTTCTCTAAAACTCGAATGAACTCATCTGAGCTTAAACTTCCATCACGATTTGTGTCGAAAACATGGAAGACAAGTTCTATCATGTTGTCAGTGAGAGAGACTCCACATACCTGTTTAATACTTTGTCAGAAGGAACTTGAGAACTAAATGAGCACCTAAATATATAATGTAATGTTTCAGTTAAACACACATGACACGCACAAAAATAGATCTAAAAAAGAGGATTAACATTACACTGGATATAACCATGCATCCTACAGCCAAGTAAAATCCTGAAATGACTTCAAGATGACGAGGGAACATATTATGAGTAGAAAACAAGGGCGGATCTACAGTGTTAGGTCTGGGTTTCCAAGAACCCAGTAACTTTTATCTAGACCTGGTATTTATATTGTGAAACCTATTAAATGTATAATATATGTTAGCAGGGAACCCAGCAACAAATCACATTGTTGGGTTTGGAGCAAGGAAGGATCCTATTAGAGCTCATCTGGTCCAACGACCAGAGATTCATTTTTGGTCGCCTTTTATATTAAACTGCACTTCTGTTTTTCCCCAAAAAACACGCGCCTCAAATTATTATTACTCTATATAATATATGAATCAGTATATCTTATTATTTCTTATCATTGATAAATATAACTCTTTATTTTGACATTAATGTAAATACAAATATAAATGAATGTTAGGAATCACAAGCTTCAAATCCTGAACCCGCCTCTGGTTGAAAAGGGTAAATACAAACACATGCATGCATACATGGGACAAATTGACAGAAAGATGGAAGAGAGAAACAAAGAGTACATACTTGAGAAGCAGCTCTTTTAAAATCACTTCTAGTCAAAAGACCATTCACTTGCCCAAAACAGAAAAGTGCCAATGAAAATGGTTGCAACTTCTTCCGCAGCTCAGCAAAAGTTTTGAATTCCTCAAATGAAATACGAATATGACTTAGTTGTGGCTCATTATCTAAATCATCAACTCGATCAAGCAACTTGTTTAAGTACTTTAAATCAGCGGAAGCAACCATGGACAGGGCAAAATCCTTTGCGGAAATGGTCCCCCGAAACTTGTAATCATAGTGGGCAAACTCTAATTTTAGCATCTGTGAAGCACATATATGACAGCAGCATAGAATTAACAATTCAAGATCACATCTGAGAGAGGGAAGGGAACATCACTTTCATTAGTTCATTGATGACGGCCTATCATAATTGTTAACATTCCTAGCTGGTGGGGGGTCAAGTGCAGAACATCCCGCATATATTCTACAAGCTGACTAAACACGAAGGCTATGTAAGATGCTCCCCTCCTTTTCACCACCTAAGCTACCAGCCAAACATATCCCGCATATATTCTAATACACAACTCCCAAGCAAGACAAGTCGCCAGAAGATAGTCTTGCAGAAAAAAACAATGTAACAAATACTTATCTACTAACATAAGTAATAAATAAAGAGACATAATAATAAATCCTGATAGCAGGTGCCTTCTTAAGTCTGGCAAAAAAGAGTCACTTTCTCTTCTCGGAGATATAGGACTGATGAGTAACGATTTGGATGTGAATATAATAAATGCAATTGGGTTTCCTTCAAAAATAATATTGGAGGGTGATACAATATAACAACACAAGGGGAAATAATTGAAAACCATTGCAATGCAAATGACATATATGAATTGAATAATGGCAAAAATGTTAAACTATTCTTGTTTTCTGTTTTCTTATTTTGCATTTGATGATTAGAGTTTTTTCTTGAAAATATTTGATGATTAGAGTTCACATACTTCTTCATGTAGATCTCTCAAGAATCGGACAAATGTATCATACTGGAGGCGTTTCTTCCCATCTTCACCAAAGAAGTCTTGTAATAGGCCTCCACTGTCTATATGGCCACCTAAATTATGCCCTCCTCGATGTCCATCACTGTGATGAGCACCTTGTCTGTTGTGAGCTCGCATCAAAGTCATTACTTTCTTGAATTCATAAATGTCTATCTCTCTGTCACAACATAAACACCAACTCAGTAAGCCAGACAAAGTTTGGTCTTTGAAAGTCTGACAGAAACAGTGATAGTATGAGAAACATGACAGCATGAATAAGAAACATATAATTTTTCAACCTGAGTTTCGGGCAGTCATCCCTCAAACCTCCCCAAATAAATAAGTCAGTAGTCTTTCAATCATGCAAATTAACTGGAAAAGGCCATCTCAATAAACAATTGACATAATCTTAATAGAGTAACAACTAAGTCCAAGCATTAAGTTGCCATTATCGAAGCCATAGAGCTCAACGATTCCATACTCAATCACCATAATATCCAAACAGAACAAATCCATAGTATAATCATGAAAGTGATGTATCTACTTTTCTTCACAATTCTGAACATGAATTAGTTAGAGTCGAGAAGGAAAAGCAAACGATAATCATCAAACTTCAAAGTGACCTCTTCTAAGTCACACAATTTTGCATCACTGAACAGAAAACATAAATTTTCCAAGTCTCGCAACTACATAAAACAGTATACAAAACTGGAAACTGCTCTCTCACTCTTCTGCAGCTCAGTGCACAAGCACATATACGAAGGTACCTGCCATATCCTCGTATGCGTTCAATAATTGACATGAGATCCCTCATATGCTAGTTCTTACATTCCTATTGTACAAGAAGGGGACCAATAATTTTATTCATATCCCTACTTTACAAATAGCAAACTTTAAAAGTTAAAAATAGATTCCTACCCATTGCAGTCGAGGTCAAACATCTTGAATGCCACTGAAAAACTTGATTCAGGGATACTCAACAGGGTGACAAAGAAAATATACCTGTACAAAATGCAATAAATTAGAGACTTTTACAGTCTTCAACATAAGTATAGTTAATAACTCAGGCTGAATGATTCTAAATTTAAATGTGATACGGAGGAAATTCAGGAGAAACAGAGAAAAACAAGACAAGGGAGGAGATCACTTAATTATGGAAATATGATGAGTTGAATAGAAAAGAAGAGAGACAGCATTGAGACTTGGGACTCACTCTTTAAAAGATATGTGGCCATCACTATTTGTGTCAAAAAGCATAAAAAAAATTGATGGGGCACATCGCAATTCACCCGGATTTCTTTCACCTCTGAGATATCCATCTCTCACGAGATGTGATTCAGATGGAGGGAACACAGGAACAACTGCTCTCATTAGATCTGCTGGTGTCATAAATATTTCTCCATCATGGGCTTCAAAAGATGCAAAGTACTCAAACACCTTCAAAGAAACAACAAAATATTAAAACAAATTTTAACTATGGACCCTCATGTAAATCACACGCTTGATAGAACAAGTTTTAATACAGAGATAAAATTTGAGATCTTTACAGTACACTACAATCAATATCCTAATACACCTATCATTGGAAAAGGAAGGACATTGTCAGCAATCGGATCGCCAAGTAGGTTAGAGAAGTTCAAAAAGGCCTCTAGGACACAGACACTGTTGAATTCTTGATGCAACAAACATGTCAAGGAAAGGGTAGACCTAAAATCCCATGAAAGGAAGTGTTGGTGAAAATATAATTACAGCTGAAAAAATAAATTAAGATAAAAAGTCTTCAAGTTGAGACACAAAAATCTCGCTCTCATTATGGAGATTCTAACCCACTGCAGCAAAATCTTCACTGCTCTAGTAATAATAATCCTCTTGACTTATCCCCTCCAGGATATAATAACCTGATAACTTTGTATGACTCGAATAAACTCTACACTAGTTGTTGAGTCCAAAGCTCCAAAGCCCCACAAAAATAGACACCTTCCTTAACAAAATAAAACTCTCTTTTTTTATCACAACCTCACTTTTTCATGCACTTCAAATATTTTCTATATACCATCACAAGGTAAAATGACATTTATAGGTGTGAAACCTTCCATAGAATAATTTTGGAGTTAGTGCCATAGTAAAATTGATGAATAGGGAGAAAATGGGTTGGTGGATTACTTATACATCGTTTGGTAGGGTGAATAAGAATGACACTGAACAAGGTATATTAGTAATGTTGGAATTAGTTATGTTGGGATTAGAAATGTTGGATCAGTTATGCAAGAATTAGTTATGCTGACATTATTTTTTATCGACTATTTGGTTTGTGACATTAAATGAATAAGGTGCATTAAAATAGGCATAGTACTGAATAAGGTGTATTAGAATAGGAATAGTACCCAACATTGTTCATGTCATGGTTTACTATGCATAAAAATAGTATTTGAATAGAGTGTATAACTAATACATGTATTTGTTATTCCAGACTTAAATTTGCAAGCAAACATTGCACTAAAATTTAGTACTACTACTATTCTTATAAACCCATTAAGAACAAGAACTTTTTACCTACCCTTACCTCCAATTAAAGCTTACATTTTAAAACATTTTAGGAGCAATAAAATGACAATATATATACAAATATAATAAAAATAAGTACGAGAATTAGAGAAAGATATGGAGTGTACCAAACATCTATATAAAAGCAGGAAAAATATAACTATAAGCCATAAATTAATGTTGAAAGAACCTTGCTCCAACGAGTTGTCAACTTCACACAAAAATTTAATAGCACTTGACTAGTAATTTAGAAGGGGGGGGAGAATTAAAGAGCTAGTAAGAATTGGTTGGGAGAAATTGAAGAAGAATTCGGGTATTTATAGTTTAGAATTAGGGCTGAAGCGTAAAAATTGATAGGGGTAGTACTTTTTTTTGGTGGGAGGGGGAGGCTGAAAGACTATTTTTGGTCATTGCCAACTACTAGTAAAAAAACTTTTGAATTCGAGTGGCGTGGCCCCATTCCATGCCCAAATTCCATCTCACCCCATCCAGATGGTAATGGGCCGGGCCGGGACCGTAATGGGCCATCCCACCCCACTAGACAACCCTACTTTGCACAATAGCCATTAGAAATTCCCATTTAGTAAGTAATTTTAACTTGTATTCTCAGGTTGACCATTACAGTAACCATGAGTATCAAGTATATTTGTGGATATAAATTTAAACATGAACTCAAGCTCACCTCTTTCGAAGACGAGGGATCAGATAACTAGCTACTGGATTAGCAAATGATGTCTAGGGCATCGTGAGTAATAGATCCTAGTTAATGTGATTGAATTTCTACATGGAGATTTTGTATCACCTTAATAGGTATACCTCTTGATGCTCGCTGGTCACACATTATTTGTTTGTATGCATATGTGTCATAGACATGATATTGGTTAGGGGTCTATCCCACCATGAGCAAAGAAGGAGATGTTGGATTTCCGATATGGGTCGTGGGTCGCTCTACGTGGGCAAATGACCCGAATGTAAGAGATAAAATAAAAAAATAACCTCCCAGAGAGCAGTGTTATGAATGGCAAGCGCCATTCGCCAAAGGCGATATGGCGAGGCGAGGCGAGCCATTCTCGCCATTCTTCACTGAGGCGCGGCGATCCCAAAAAGGCGACCATATGGCGACGTAAATGGCGGCGCCATTTTGTTTTTAAATTTTTAAAAAGCTTTGACTTAATAATATTAGTCAAAATTAGTTTTTTTTTTTTCCATTTTCAAACTTTCATCAATCAGTCGCGTTTTTTTTCTCCTTGCGATCTCTTCTCCTCGCGTCTCTTCTCCACGAGTTGCTGCTCCTCTTCAGCTCTTCCCCTCGCTGCCTCGCGTCTCTTCTCCTCCTTCATCGCACCAGTTGCTGCCAGCCGCCAGGTATACTCTTTTTTTTCTTCTTCTTTTCAGTTCTTTTCTTCTCTTCTTTTTTCGTTTCTTCTCTTCAAGTTCAGTCCTCTTCTTCGTTTCTCTTTCTTCTTTCTTTTTGAGATACAGTAGCTTGCTGCTTTCACTGCTCTGTTTTTTTCCTCTGTTTTATTGTTCAGCTGTTACTGCTTACTGCCTTCAGTGGTTGTTGTCTATAATTTAAAAAAACTGCTATGTTTTTCTCCTCTGTTTTATTGTTTTACTGCTCTGTTTTATTGTTCAGCTGTTGCTTACTGCCTTCACTGGTTGCTGTCTATAAAAAAAAAATTAAAAAAATTCTTCTATAATTATTTATTCATTTGTTCATAAACAGTGAATTGACTGAATTTAATGGCGGATGCTAGCAAAAAGAGGGACATTGGATGGAATTATGGTACCCAAGGAGCAACGAAAGATTCAGTTAATTGTAACTTTTGTGGGAGTACTTTTAATGGTGGAATAACTCGACACAAGCAACATTTATTGGGTGGTTTCAAGAATGTTAAACAATGTACAGCTTGTCCATCGGCGATTAGAGAAGAAGTAAGGGCTTATATGCAAAATAAAATCGCTAATAATCCCAAATTTCAAGTGAGGTAGCCGGAAGAATATATTGATATTGATGATATGGATGAATATGCGGAAATGATGCCTCCCTCCAAAACTCCAAAGAAATCTTCTAGTGGAGGTGCATCATCCACCGCGCGGAAAGGCCCTATGAATCTCTATTTTCCGCAGAAATCAACACAAAAAGGAGGCTTTGAAAAAGGAGGAGGAATTGATGAAACAAAGAAAATTCTAAGAGAGCGTGCGGTAAGTGCTTTCGCAATATGGATGTATGATGCGGGGCTCCCTTTTAATTGTGTCAATCACAAATCATTTAATAAATTTATTGAGACAGTAGGACAACATGTCCCCGGAATGAAGCTTCCTACATTCCTTGAAGTTAGAGTTACTCACCTAAAAAAAGAGGTGGAGAAAGTGGAAAAAATTGTTGATGAGCATAAAGTGCAATGGACAAAGTTTGGATGCTCCATTATGATGGACAAATGGACGGCACGAAATGGTAAAATGATCATCAATATTTTGGTGAATTCTCCAATCGGTAGTGTATTTCTTGGTTCTGTTGATGCTAGCAATGAATCTACCGATTCCACCAAAATGTATAAGTTGTTTGAAAGCACTATTGAAAGAATTGGACCGGAAAATGTTGTACAAATTGTCACTGATAATGCTAGTGAGAATGTTAAAGCGGGAAGCATGATGATGGGTGCGTACCCACACATTTATTGGACTCCATGTGCCGCTCATTGCATCAACTTGATGTTTGGTGACATATTCAAGGTTAAGCCATATGCTTCCGGTAATATCACTCTCATATCCTCTAACTTTCTTTATAGTCAATATTTAATACTTTTTAGCTACTAATTACTATAATCTTACTTTAACAGTTTTTAAGAAGGCCATCAGAATCCATTCTTACATTAGTCAAAGGCCATTGTTGTTAAACTTGATGAGAAAATTCACCAAGGAAAGAAATTTGGTGAAACCGACCACGACAAGATTTGCAACGGCGTTCTTAACTTTGAGAGCTATAGATTTGCATCGGCCTTCTTAACTTTGAGAGCTATGTACATACAAAGATAAAACTTGAGAACATTAGTCCTCTCAACCGAATGGACTTCAAGTAAATTTGCAAAGGAAACTTTGAGAAAGAAGTTGCCAATCTTATTATTTCTGCCCACTTTTGGGATGATGTTGTTCGAGCACTTACAGTTTGTGGCCCTTTGACAAAAGTGCTTCGTTTGGTGGATGGGGAGAAAAAACCACCAATGGGCTATATTTATGAAGCAATGGATAGAGCCAAAGAAACTATTGCAC